ATGGACCGTGCCGATAGCACAGTTTGTGTTTTGCTGGACTGCCTTGCCGTTTGGCCTTGAAAGACATAATATCTATTATATTAAATTTGGAATCTGCTGCATTGGTGCGATTTTGAAGTTGTTTTGGGAAGTTTGGAGGTCGTCAATTGAAGACTTTACTTCTTTTCCTTCCCCCCAATGTTTCTGTCTATCTCAACTATCTGTCTTGCTCTTTCCCTGCTGTCAATGACAGTAACTGGGTTGATGTGTTTTTGTTCTCCCTCAAAGCCCCAAACCTTGCAGATAGACGCTAAAGCACAGTGCTGGCTCCTCCCCCCCCCCCCATTCTTTGAAAGGCGAAATTCGTGTTGAAAGAGACGTCACACACACACGCACACGCGCACACACACACTAAAGTGCGACCCATTTCAATATGGTGCTCCAGAAGGCAGATTATTGATCTGTGTTTTCCTCCTGATCAATGGTAATCCCTAGTGGCGGATTTGCCTGGGAGCACATTAAGGTAACCGGTTCTTTTTCCAGCTCTCCGTGTGTGGTTGGAGGGCACTATAATACTGGTAGGTCCTACTTCAGTGCGATTCTTTTTTATTCAAACGAAAGCACCTTCTATTGGTAATGTACCTCTCCAGGGGATGTTGGAGAATGCCACTTGTAGATCTCACTTCTTTACCCTTCCTCTATCATTTCTGTCTGTCTGCTTAGCTCTCTCTCTCTCTCCATCCCTCCCTTTAGACTAAATGGTCAACTTTGTATCAACGTATTTCTCTTTTCCCAAAGAAACCAACCAACCAACCAACCAACCAACTAATCAACCAACCAACCTACCAACCATCCAACCAACCAACTAACCATGACATCAGGGTAGCTGGCGCTGAGTAACATAAACTGTTATAAGTTCAGAGTTATTGTTTTTGTTTGTTTTTGTGAAGTGTTTTACGGCGCTCGCAACTGCTTAAGGTCATATGAGCGCACGGGACACACCTAATAATTTCAGTTGGTTGGAAATTTTGAATTTTGCCCGGGGGGCGGCCGAAGCCTACTCTTATCGATTTTAAACCACCAAGGGAACTTTAACGTGCGCAACTTGCACACGGGCCCTCCGAGATTTTTCACCCTTTTACGAGAAGGCTAGGCGTAGATCTTTCCTACCAGAAGACCAGGGGTGTGGCTGAAAGACAGCAGTAAGAAGAAGCGAAGGAGTAGCAGTAGAAAGGCTGCAGAAAGAATCAGGAGCCCAGAGGAAGGGGCAAAGGAGGTGAGGGGGGTGAGGGCAGAAAGAGGAGACGAAAGCAGACGACAGAACATTGCTAGAGAGCAGGAAATGAGGTGAAAGGAGACAAATTTAGAGAAGAAAATGTTTCGGTCGCCCCCGGATTCGAACCCGGGACCTTTAAATGAGAGGCCAGCACCTTAACCTCTAGGCCACGAGAGCCCCCGTTCAGAGTTAGGCGTTGTGCTCTTTTGAGGCTTGCCTTTACTCTGAGAGTGGACGTTGGAGTGTTATTAATGATTAATTAAAATGTATTGCCTTTGATCAAGTTGGTGTGTCCAGACCTTGAGAGTGGACAATTCTTTTTGTGTCTTTGACCATGGGGGTGGGCAATCGTGTTTATGGCCTTGACTACGACGCATTTTTAAGTGGCTTTGGCCTTTGAAGTGGATCATCGTCTATCTCTGACTTTGGCCCTGGAAATGATCAATCTTTTATTCAAATTTGTGGCCTTGGCCTTGCATGGGAGCGGGCAATCGTTGCTGTGGTCTTGACCCTTACAGTCGACGTTCTCCTTCAGTTGTCTTTGAATCCCATGGGTGAGCTTTTGCTGTCTTTGTCGCTATTGGTTTCGGCAATCTAGCCGGACACGGTTTCTTTGTGTGGAGACCTTTTAACAATGACAGGCTACTTGTCACCCTGTCTCCATTTCTTCGCCGTGTTTCTCTCTTTCTACCTTTCTCTTATTCTCCCTCTTCTTCATTGTCATTGTCTCTCTCACTCACGTTCTTTTCTCACTCTGTCTGTCTGTCTGTCTGTCTGTCTGTCTGTCTGTCTGTCTGTCTGTCTGTCT